TTTATACATCCAACCAAAATCTGCGAAGAACGCAGTTTCGAAAAAAGTGTTGGTAAGGGCGCTTGTGAATTAAGGTAACGATATGTATCTACGTCATTTGCATAATTTATTTTCGTATTAATAGTAATTTAAGATCTTGCGTGCAAAATTAATGATTAAAATTACATATGTAGATTAAGTAAAACTATGTGCGATGTTTCGAAACAATTTCTTTAAATAAAACAAAAGATAATACTTATTGTAAAAAAGTACGAAAATTGTAAATATTTATCGGTACCAGCATAACTATTTTTAAAAAGTAATTAATTCCTTCATCCCTTTGATGAAGTCTTCATGGTCTTTCTGTAATAGCTCGGTACTATTATTTTTTCATTACTCTCTTCTAATGTCGAAAACTCCGAATCGACTATCAGCAGCCAAGTTCTACTCATAAAATAGTATTCACCCCCATAGCGGAGTCGTTGCGTTGCTCCGTGAGTCCCAGGTATAATGCCTGATCAAACAAAGGAACAAATGATAAAGGAAAGCTTTTTCTAAAATCGATCACCTATTAAGTGTTAATGGAATTTTTCAATACGAAGTAGTGAATGAAGCATTTTACTACATATTTTCAATAGCAATTGCTAAAGTGCTGAGCACATTGAAAACGACGAGCTACGGGCCACAGCTTTCAATTTGTTCTTTTCATTATCTAAACGCTTTGTCGATGGCGTCAAAAATTTTTTTAACGCGGCAGCGACATCATGAGTTTGTATGAATTTGACATAAAAGAAGTGATCAACACTTAAGAAAATCACGTCGGAATTTGACCTTCCAAAAAATATGTTTATTCGGCAGGCAAAGAAATTAAACATGAAATTAATACTTACTTTCTAGGCAACAAATAAAGAATACATATTATATTTTGTCTGTCACGTAAAATTAAATTAAATTAAAGGAGACAATAAAGTATGTGGTATATATGTATGTATGTAAGTATAACTTTCTGGGGTATTAATTTTATGTGTAACTTCTTTGCCTGCTGAATAAACATATTTTTTGGAAGGTTAAGTTGCGATGTGATATTCTTAACTGCTGAACAATTCTTTTACGGCTCTAACGATTTTGATAAAATTTTGTATACAAATAATGTTTTAGATTCTAAGGTTATCTGAATAGGCACTATCTCCGAGAAGGCTCGTATAAGGTTGCCCCACCTATTCGAAATTAGTTAAAAATTAATTAAAACATCATAATATGGGTATCAAACGGAAGGTATTTTAAAGATTTCTAATTCAAAAATATTTTCCTAGGATTGGCACCTATTTTGAATCACATATTTATTTATTTATTTTTTTAAGATAAAATATTACTATTCGTGGGTACCACGAGAAGGTTCCTAAACAATGCTTCCCCTATATACAAAATGTTTTCCCTTAGGATAATAGTGTAAGGTTTCCACTTATTTTCGATTCTACTAAATTTATCTAAAACATCTCAATATGGATATCAAATGAAAGGTATTATTGAGAACTTTGGTCCAGCGTTGTCAGGTTGACGTTTTTAACGTCATTTGGACGTTTTTTTGTATCCTGTTGACGTTTGGACGTTTTTTGTGTAAAAAATTACGTTTTTAACTGACCAGTAATTTCTCTAAATCTTGTAAGTAGAACAGATTTTGAATTATTTTCTTCATAAATCTTTACAAGCTTTGTTTTTTGCAGCAGCAGCTTCAAAAAATATTTATTCTTTGGACACAGATGACTTAACCCTTATTTAAGCGCATAAAGAAAATGACACGCATGGGGCCCCTTATTGAAAATGTAATGAACGTAAAAATGCTGAAATATTGGTATGTTCCTGTAAAAAGAAAATAAGCATTTTCCTAAGCAAACTCTTTTAACGAGCAAAATTAATTTTTTGAGTAATCATATTTCATGTAATTCGATTAATCATAGTTTGGAATAAACAAAATCTTGATGACTTGAGTAATTTATTACCCGACTATTTGATTAACCAACTTGCTCGAGTAATCGACGGCCGAGTGGAAGATCGACCTATCTTGGCAGCTAAATAGTTCGAAAACGCTCTGTCTCAGAAACCTTTTCAGGAACGCCCTATCTCATCTCAGAATTTGGTTCAAAAGTGCCCTATCTCAACTGAAAATATATTAAAAACATTTTGAGATACATGAAATAATATTATATTATTGGATATTATGTAGCAAATAAGTTCTGTAAATGAAAAATCTTTAATAAACATATGTATGTTTGTATGAAGCCATTGGCGATCGTTTTTTCCAAATTCATCCAAATCATTTCCCTTTCTTCAGTTGTCTACGAAACCCATTAAGGTAAGGATGTATATGAATATTGTAATAATATCAATGTAAATACTGAGCGCTGCAAATATATAGTCCTCTGGACTGATCGCGAATTTATGTTTGCCGCCCATCATTAATTGTATATCGAATATTAAGTAGATGGAAAAGATGAGAATTCCAAGAGAACAATAAACTATGATTAGCACACGCGAAGGAAAAAACATTGCCACAATGCCGATTATAAGCAAAATAATAGAAGCAACCAGAAGAAAGGCCCAACAGGCGGTAAAGTCAATAGATGTTTGCAAGGCGAAGATGGTGAGCGCAAGCACAACGATCGTTGTTATGCCAATGGAGTATAGGACCTGCGATAGAAAGTTGTGGAAATGTAAGGATAGTTATGAATATGAATTTCAAAAACAAACCCCGACTTACTAACCGTATCAGGTGCATATCTGATGGCAATGCAACCTAGTAAAAATGATTCAGCCAAAGTGAAGAGAATAAGAAGTATGAAGTTAATGGGATAACTGCGGCGCACTCCTTCGCAGCAGGCAATCGGTAACATTGTAACCAGAACTGCAGCTAACGCTACCCACATAAGCCAAGGATTTTGAACTACAAAGTCTTGAATGGCATCAATGTAGACGAATGCGAAGAGGACGGCAAGGGTTAAGGCGAGCTGGGCCTGAAAGTGGTTTAACATCAATGTAGATTAAGACATTTTACTAGCGTCATTACTTGTCACCTTACCGCAATAATGGCGAAGACCTTCGAGATGAATGCATGACGCACGTATCTGTCATCGAAATCTTCAATATTTAAGCTTTCCACGTCGCGTTTAAGCATTTTTTAATATTTTTTTGTAAGTTAGCTTTTGGCTGGTAGCTTTTTTCTTTTTTTTAAGGAAAAAATTGCAAAAAAGTAAACAAATATATATTTCAAAAATTGACGTTGTATGTAACTCTTCGTTATGTACCAGCATAGTTTCCAGCGTTTGAAAAGTATCGACTTTTTGGCTCTGAAAAAGTGAATAAATGCTTAGTTCCTGGAAAAAACGAATATGTGCAGGGTTTCATGTGCTTATGTTCAACTTTAAATAACTAGTTTTTTACGCACTTTTTACCATTCAATAGTCATATTTTTGGTCGAAATGTGTTGATAAATTTTATATATTCAGTAAATAACCGAAATATAACAATATTTTTTTTAAGTTACTTCCTTATTCTTTATAAAAGGATGGAAAATGTCCATACTTCAAATAAAAAACAATTACGGCTAGTTTAAACCCGGTATAAGTTTATGCCCAGTTTGAAATTGCTTAAAGTTTCAATCGGTAATTAAATTACGAAACAAATATTCCCTGTTGTTTTAATTACTAAAAATGTATGCCCAGTTTTTAAATAAGCAAACATTTATTTATGTATATTTATGAAAATACCCTCGATATTTAGGAGATTCCTCTTTGTGCCTCCTTGGAATTAGTGGGGGCTTTTGATAATACTGCTTATGGATCTGCATTAGGGTGGTACTTCAAATATCAACATCACGCGGCATCCCTTTAATTAGTTCTGCGCTCAAAATAAAGACATCCACAAAAATTACAAAATTAAAGAAAAAACAAATTTAATTTAAGAGTTGCTACCATGGTTTGAAAATATATATTTTTTTAATCAAGAAAATTCGTCAAAATTTACACTTAGCTATGACTGAGCGAATTCATATGAATACATTTCAATAATATTTCAAATTTACCAGATTTCAATTCAAAATTTTGTAAAAAACAAAATAACGATTCAAACCCTGTGGCGACCGCCAAAAATTTTGTTTCAAATTTTGAAATTTCCATAGATGCCTTTATTTTATACATACAACGATATATATTTAAAAGATATCCATATAACATTTAGATATTGATATTTAAGTACCACCCTAATCTACATATCTCAGGGGCCTTGGGCCAAAGAGGCATAGACCTCTCTACTGTTGGGTGGTTCGAGACCATGCTTCATGAGCGCGATTTAAAATCCTTAGGCAACAGTTCCGTGAACACAGGTAAGTAAGTGTTATTTCTTCATTGCTCTAGTCTCTCGTGGTGCATTTCCTCTTAAGGGCCGTTTTCCCCCATCTCTGGTTAAGAGGTAACCCAAGGTTAAACATATTTACGGACGTTACTGTCTCCATGCATATAACATTGTGTCGGTAATGTTGGTAACAATGTTTAACTGGAGATTAGTGTTAACCAGAGATAGCGAAAACGGCCCTTAGGGCCGGTTGTTCAATGTCTGGTTATCACCAGTACATCATTATCGACGATTTCGACATCATGCATATCACATGTGATCAATAAAGCAGTTTTTGTATTTAACCGGAGCTTCTACCTCCGATTTGTGCTAATCAGTCATTAAACAACCGGCCCTTAGTAAACTACTGGAAGGTGGTTACGAAGCTGTTTATTAAGTTTTCCAAGGCAATAGAAATATTATCGTGTCCAAATTTTACATAAATTACACAAAAATTGAGCATTTTACGGCACAAAATTGTTAAAAAATTTTGCTAATTTTTTCATTACAAAAATACTCGAAAGCCGCTCGAATGATTTTGTTTTTGTTTTCTTTAATTAAAAATTCAAGTTTTTTCCTTTCGTTTGGTAAATGGGAAGTATTGGTTGATATCTTCTAGGTATGTTTATTTGATTCAAATATATGGGTATAAATGATTTTCCATACAAAATCACTTCGTCATCATTTTCAAACACATGCATGCGCTGGAAGTGTGAGAAGGAGACAAAAAGTATGTGTGTGTACTTCGGCTTTTGAGTAACAGATGGCGCAGCTCCGGAAAAATATGTATAACCTAATCACAGCATATGTTCATATATCATACCTAGATCTAAAGTGGGCTACCTCAAATAGAGGGAAATTTAACTGCTTGTGGATAGTACAGATTGAACGCAATTAATACAAGAACAAGCATAACAGTAGTTTTTCAACTAATGTATTTAATCATGAAGAAAAAAATATTGCCATTAATTGAATGTAAGCGCTATGAATTGATTTATGCAAAAAAAGTCACACAAATTTTTTTCAGTTGATCGCACTTTAGATCTGGTTGTGCGATATGTTGATTGGAGTTAATGTGATCTGTTTCTCCTTTAGTATTCTATGTATGTACATATACATATATGTCCATATGGAAGTAAATAATCATATCATCAGATCTGTAACGTTAGTTCGATTTTAAAAAAATAGGTATCAACCTAAAAGCCTTGGCCTATAGATATGCAATGTTTTTTTTTAAGGTTTGCCCCCTGATAAATAATTAAATACAAATTATTTATAAGTTCAATCCATTAATACAATATAGGGTTTATTTCTCCATTATATGTAGGAGGGTTGCCACCCATTTACAAAAATATATTCAATGTATAAAGTAGGTAAAATGAGTTACTACAATATGAATACCAATCAAAATAGCTTTGAAAAACTGTATTCTAAACTACATGTGAGAGAGTTGCCACTTGTTTTGAAACTTTATTCAACTTTAATTATAAGAATTAGGTAATTTGAACATATGTCGCAATACGGGTGTCATATTTAAAAGAATAAAAAGGTTTTAGCTTGAAATAATTTTAAACAACGTTGCTCCCCGTTTACAAAAACAAGTTCAATCTTAAATTAAGGCGATTAGAAAATTGTCAGTCGAAAGAGATTGTGCTTTGAAAATATTTAAAAGAGAGTCGCCACCTGTTTACAAAGTTAAATTCAATGTAATGGATTACTTCAATATGGATATCTATCGAAACTGCTTTGAAGATATTTTATTTCTGAACTACATGTAGGAGGTTTGCCACCTTTTCAAATTTCATCTTGAATTAAAGGAATAAGATGATGTTAATATGCAACACAATACGGGTGTCAGATGTTTTAGTTTTAAAATACACCTGTAGCAGAGTTGCCACACGTTTTTTAATTTAAATGCAACTTCAATTAAGGGAATTATATAATTTTAATATGTATGTATATTTGAGTGTCACACGCAAAAGGTTTGACAAGGTTTTATTTTACAAATATTTTTAATATTCAATATTCTTCCATCTGTTATTGTATGAAATGTTAAAACATGGGTGACAAACGAAAGAGTATTAGGAAATATTTTTCTTGAACATTAAGAAAATAAAAAGCGCTGCCACATGTTGAAAATATGGGTAGCATTTGAAATGGGTTTAAAATTTTTAACCTGAATGTGCTCTTATTATTTTTACGTATTCTACGTTTAAGTTTAGCGGATGTAGATCCGACGCAGCCCGCAGGTCAGGACGGAGGCGCTCGGCTGATCGTTTTTAATCGAACTCTGTGCATTTCAACTCTAAATTAAAAGAATGGCCATACTTTATGGTTGTCCGTCCGCAAACGCGGGATCCCGCGCCATTTTTGTGGGATCAGAAATGAGGGATTACATATGCGGGATTTGCGGAAAAAACAGAAAAAATTAATTAGCCGATTGCAAGTTGTGAACGGGCTCGCCAAAATGTTTGTCGTGCATGGCTGTTTTAAATATACATCATTTTATAACCCAGTAGATAGTTTCAGGAGTTAAAAGCTCTTCCGAAAGGTCTTCCTGAGAGTCAGGAGGCCTTCCACTCTACATTGCTTTCTCCTTTCTTTTTTGTATGGACTGTCATCAATTGAAAGGCTTCTTCTTTCGCTACCCATAGAAGGCCTTCAGGAAGGGCTTTTAGAGGACGTCCTTCAGAAGGCCTTTTGGAGGAGTTCATTGAGATTCGCAATGTGCGTTGAGGTTAGAAGCAAATCCTGACGTTATGGAGCATAACGAGGTTCAGATTCGTCTTCAGCGACCCCAGAAACATATATGTAAAACACCTGATCTTGTATTATTAACCTTTCATCGATTTTTTTTTTTTTTGTGGTCCTGCGAAATTTATTAAAATTTGAAAACGTTCGCCTTTATAACTAGCTTAAACTTTGTTCACTTACCGATTTATGGACACATTATTCAAGTCTAAAACAGTCCGTTTGTATCGATAAATAAGTGTGCCAACGGAAAATTGACTTTTTTCTTTCAGATGCTAAATTTCGAATACTCATAACCAGGGAACGGATTTTTAGGACCTAAAAACCTATAAAAAAGGCAAAATAAAATAGCGAAAAAGGCAGGAAAAGGCACTAGGTATTGCGAAAAAGGCAGAAAAGGCAAAACAAAATAGCGAAAAAGGCAGGAAAAGGCAAAAAAAAGGTAATGCAAAACAAGCAAAATAAGGCACTAAAAAAAGACAGAAAATACGAAGAACAATCAAAAATTTTTGTTTACGTGTATATATGATTTATATTTTAAATAAGTATATATATTACGCAAATACCTCGCATTATTACTAATTTCTATTGTTTTTTGTGTCTAAATCCCATTGAACTAATCACATGTCTCTTGCCAGCTACCAGCAGGGTTGCTTAAGTAGCTAAAAGGAAATTTTACTCGAGTTGGGCGTTCTTTTGTCGCTCGCTTACAAAAAAAATGCAGCTTGTAATTTATTCTCTTTTGAAAAATACCCAATAAGATATAGCGATTTTGACCATATATCTACGAAACTATGCATAATCACCAAAATGAAAAGTTCCTGATTGTGCAATAAAATAAGATCGAATTTAAAAGATGAAACTTTAAAGACTTTATCATTCCTTCGGAAATATTATCAAAAAACCAATCTTATTAAAAGTAAATACGTAGATTTTCTAAATCAAATCGTCTTTTTTATATATCAATTTTGAATTTAACTGTCTAGAGGAAATAATATAATTTTAATTTCAGTCCCGCTAATCCCGCAAGCTTGCGGGATTGGATTGCCTAATTGTGATACTTAGTATCAGGAATTCGTCTACCAAGTCATTATTTGCATTTAGTGTCTTGAACTGATAGTATCTTAGGCTTTCCGGGTTATTAACTTATCAAAGGGTACAGCGGATCCTCTAGGTCGCGACATATCTGGTTTTTGGTGCAACCGATCGATTAACTTACTAATTACTTAATAATAAATTCTGGATTTATTTAGTTTTAATGCTTAAAAAGCTAAAACAGTTATTTTCAGCGCAATGTAGCGAGTATTTTGGAAATTAATTTAATGGAAGGATTCATGCCTCAAAAAAAATAATAATTGGAGGAGGAACTCGGGTAAACATAAACAAACCAAAATGTGAGCGTCCAATATCTATCTTTGTTCTTCTTTATGATCATCCAGCCAATAAATCTTAAACTCTACTTAGATCCAATTTTTCACTAGTTCAAAAAAGAACCCCGATATAGCTAGCATTTTACCAGTCCCTTTATGTGTCATCCCATTTTTACCACAGGGTATATATTCATTTTTTTGCACATGCGGAAAACTATGTGGTCTTTAGGTATCCCATTGAGACGGAGACCTTGCTAACGCTAGGGTAGCCAATTAATTAAACAGGCTACTGCCCATAATATAATTATGCCCAATTGAATTTGCAAATCAAAACAACTACATACTACATTCTCTGTCGACAAAGCAGACACAGAATCCATCATTGCGCTATAGAGATTTTACTCGTAGCTGCAGCTAAATGCATACAAATGTGCCAAATTATTTTTTATTTGGGGTAGCCTTTTGTGAATGTTGGTTCCACTAATTTTGGCTGTGGCGCGCGCGTTCAGTTCCAAGTGGGCTCTTGTGTCGCACAGTTTTTTGCTTCGTTGCGAACGCTTTAAATATACAGCTAATAAAGGAGTTATGAATATTCTTTCAGCCGTCTAATTATCCTACCATCCATGGATTTCGATGAAGTACTTAAAGAGGTCGGATCCTTTGGTTTGTACCAGAAAATTATTATTTGTTCGGTGCTATTACCTGCAGCGTTGCCTTGTGCCTTCCACGCCTACAGGTGAATTTGATGCTTAGACGGCCGATTATATTTTCGAATCCATATATCATACGAGTATTAACTATAATTAAAACCCATAGTCAATTATTTATCGCAGCAACGCCGAAGCATTGGTGTCGTGTGCCCGAATTGGAACCATGGGCGCAGGACTATGGTGCGCTGGTGAAAAACCTAAGCATACCTTTGAGCATGGTGAACAGCAGCGTTGAGTATGCCAGCTGCGCGATGTACAACCGCAATTACTCGGATATTGTGCGATATATGGAGTACCGCACCCCTATAGAGTTGCAACAAGATAAGGTCTGGCAAATCGGCAATCCAGGACGTACCCCAGTTCTGAGCTGCCAACATGGCTGGTATTATGATCGCTCAATGTACAGCAGCACAGTGGTTACAGAGGTAAGATAGAGTTTGTGCTTCGTAGGCGCTTTTCTCAACCTCGCATTTTTGTTTTAGTGGAATCTTGTATGCGACCAAAGCTTTTTGGTTACGCTGGCTTTGGTTCTGTTTGGCGTTGCTGGCTTGATCGGCAACTACGTCTTCGGCTATCTGCAGGATAAGTGGGGACGTCGACCCTCCTTTTATGTTTATCTTCTTATAGAAATTGTCGCATGCGCAGCTAGTGCCTTCGCATGGAACTACTATTCCTGGTTGGGTATGCGTTTTGTGGTGGGTCTCACCGTGCCGGCCATACTCGCAAGTCCTTATGTCCTTGGTAAGCTGTTGCATACACAACACCTTCACTTTGGTCTCATTCTCCCTTCGTGTAGCTATTGAACTGGTTGGTCCTGAGCGTCGCGTTTTTTGCACGATAGTCTCAAATATTGCTTACTCATGCGGGCTGGTACTACTCGCAGGCATAGTGTATCTAATAAGGGATTGGCGCTTTCTCACACTGACCGTTTCTTTGCCACTGCTGCTGCTTTTCTCTTGCTATTTCGTGCTACCGGAATCGCCGCGTTGGCTGCTCGCAGTGGGTAAAACACGACAGGCGGCACGAGTTTTGAAAACCATTGCGCGTGTTAATGGCCACAACATCCCACCAGATTTCGTAAAAATCGTGCACCAAAAATTACAGCAGGCCGAAGCGGCAATGGGAAAAGAGACAGAGACATCTTATGGTATCTTGGATTTATTTCGCACCACAAACATGCGTCGTAAAACATTGATTATAACGCTAATTTGGTTTGCGAACACCAGCGTCTATGTGGGACTGAGCTATTATGCGCCAGCTTTGGGTGGTGATGAAATATGGAACTTCTTTCTCGCTGGCGTTGTTGAGCTACCTACCTACATTATGCTATGGCCAGGCTTAAGCTACTTCGGCCGACGTTGGATACTTTGCATATCTATGTTGGTGGGGGGTGTGGCATGTGTTTTGACATTGCTGTACGATGAACAGCCAGAGATAATGCTGCTACTCTACTGCATCGGTAAGATGGGCATTTCGTCGGCATTCGTAGTGCTACCATTACTCGCTTCCGAACTCTATCCGACTGTGGTGCGTGGCTTGGGCATGAGCTTCAGTTCGGTAGTCGCGATGATCGGACCCATAGTCATACCAATTATTAATCACATGGCAAGTAGTTGAACTTAATTCATTCCATAACCTAATTCTAAATAAGATTACTTATTCAGGGTCAGCGCATGCTTGTGCTGCCGCTAATAATAATGGGTGCGCTATTAATTATCGGCGGCTTTGCTAGCCTTTTCCTGCCGGAGACACGTGGCAAAAATTTACCACAAACCATTGAAGAGGGTGAATCGGTGCCGTTGAAATATTTCAATTGCTGTTGCTGTTGTTGCTGCACAAAGACACCGCGCAGTCCCGACTTGAATAACTCAGCACTGATTGCTAAATATAAGCGACAGCGTGAACGAGAGCAATTTGGACGGGGACGAGGGCAGCCAATGACGGTTTGTAGCATTTGCAAAAATGAAATTAAAGAGACGTGAGAGTTTTCATTGTAGAATTAGTGCACAGCTATTGTATAATATATGTACATATTTATTTATTTAGAAATTACGGTTGAGAGTTTAAAATATTCAAACATTGAGAGTTTTTGTGCCAAAAATTGTTTAAAAAAAAATTAAATTAGTTAACAATAAAACAAGCTTACATTTTTCGGTAAAGTTTTTACGCAAATGCTTGCGGAGTAAGTAGAAATGAATTTAAGTACGGTACGATCTTTTCTGAGGCGAGGCATGGCAAATCACTGGTATGTATTCTTCATGTGATATTTAATCTTCTTTTCACGCAGAGAGCAGGTTTGAACTTTCTTCACGCGATATAAACATTAGGGGGGGATTGATGGATCACTTGAAAACTTATTTTTTCCATTCTGCATTACCCTCTAAAGATACTCGCTAAATACTCGAAATATTTTTTTATTATTTTTGAACTGATTAGGCCTTAGCAGTGTGGCTTTACAGGATAATTCTGGCGATTGTCTTTCATCTCACCAAAGTCTTTCAACTCGAACAACTTTCTTGAAAGCACTTTTCTGGCGAAAGACTAATTGAAGGATCTGCTAACGAGGAGGTCTTAGCGTTATTCTAAGAACATATTTATATTTTTTTTAGAAGAATAAAACCTTAAAATTAATGAAAATTTAATTAAAGGAGAAGAAACTTAATTTAAAAAAATAGACTCCTAATAAAATAACTTTCTAAAAATTAACTTAGCAACGCGTTGGCTTTCCATTAAACAAATGTTTTTCTTTAAAACAATGAAATCTAAAAATTAAATTTATAAAAAGAAAACACAATGTAAAATAAGTTCCTAAAAATTAAATGAAAATAAAATATATATATATTTTACTTTTAAATACATATGCACATAGTAATCAAATTAAAAAAATATATGTACATATGTAATAATAACTTCCTAAAATGTACTCAAATTAATAAAAAAAATTTCGTTTTTAAAGCATTAAAATCCAAGAATTAAAATAAATTCGAATTTAGGAAAGAAAAACATTTAAATTTCTAAAAATTAAATTAAATTTAAAAAAATTATTTTTCTTTCAAAAATAAGAAATTCTAAAAATTAGAGAAAATTAAATTGAAAAAGAACATAAAATAAGTCTTTAAAAATCCAGTGAAATTAAAAGAAATATATATATTTATATTTTTAAAATATGTATTAAATGAAAATTAAATTTAAAAAAGAAAAAATAATTTAATAACAAAAAAGAAAAAAATATATGTACATATGTAAGTATCTAAAACTAAATGAAATTTAAAAAAATGCTTTTCTTTCAAAAACAAGAAATTCCAAAAATTAAAAGAAAATTAAATTAAAAAAGAAGATAAATAAAATAAGTCCCTAAAAATCCAAGTAAAATTAAAAGAAATATTTATCTTTTTGAAATATGTAATATAATTTTAAAATTTAAAGAAAATTAAATTTAAAAAATTTAATTGATGAAAATAAGTTCCTAAAAGTTAATCACATTAAATGAAATATATTTCATTTTTAAAGCAATAAAATAAGACATTTAAAAAAAACATTAATAAAAGAAGAAGAAAAATAGATTCCTAAAAATTAAATGAATTTTAATCAATATATATATATTTTTTAAAAATAAACTTTAAACATTAAACGAAATTTAAACAAATACTTTTTTTCAAAAACGAGAAATTCCAAAAATTAAAAGAAAATTAAATTAAAAAAGGAGATAAAATAAGTCCCTAAAAAACCAAGCAAACTTAATAGAAATATTTGTCTTTTTAAAATATGTAATATTTTTAAATTTGAAGAAAATTAAATTTTAAAAACAATTAAACAATAAACTTTAAACATTAAACAAAATAAAAAAAAATACTTTTTTTCAAATACGAGATATTCTAAAAATTAAAAGAAAATTAAATTTAAAAAGAAGATAAAATAAGTCCCTAAAAAACAAGTAAACTTAATAGAAATATATATCTTTTTAAAATATGTAATATTTTTAAATTTAAAGAAAATTAAAATTAAAAAATTTAATTTAAGAAAAAAGTGCCCAAAAGTTAATCACATTAAATGAAATATATTTCATTTTTAAAGCAATAAAATAGACATTTAAAAATAAAAAATTAATTAGAAAAGAAGAAAAAATATATTACATTCAACAATTTATATTGAGCTCTAAAATTCCCTTATTTTCAAACAGCTCCCCAGAGGCCTCTGGGAGGGGTTGGGGGGAGAGGGGTGACTTTTCATAAAGCGGCGACAATCCTCTTTCAATTAGTGGGATTTGTGGGGCCGACACCCCGCCCCCACCCCTAAATCGTTGTACAAATAGCTAAACATTTCCCAAGTAGTTTTAAAGAGCTTTATAAATTTACGTTTTTATACATGTTTCAGTTTATAAACCATTTATAAAGCTACTTTATTTTTTATGAATAAGGCCATTATAACGCAGAATACAATACTATCAATTGGCACAGCCCATTATATGAAGAGCCCCACTAAGTTGTATATCGATGATTTATAGACTAAAGTGTAATAACGATGACTTTTGTAACATCAAAATATCACATCTCTAAGAAAACATCACACATGGTAAAACGCTCCAATGTTGGATTTACCTGAAAATAACATCGAAGATATCGAGGATCTCATCTGCGAAGACGATGTGAAACCTCGTGATCGCTATAAAAATAAAAAGAACGTGTCCGTTCGGCCCAAGAAGCGCGCAACAGTAGTTGGCAGCGATGCAGATATGCACGCATCGGAGCGGCAATTGCCAGAGAGGAAAATTTACGAGAGCATTATCCCTGGAACCCAGACGGTATATGTGAAAACATGGGGCTGTGCACACAACAACTCTGATTCGGAATATATGGCTGGACAACTTTCTGCATTTGGCTACAAGCTAACAGACAACAAAGAAAATGCCGATCTTTGGTTACTCAACAGCTGTACAGTGAAAAACCCCTCTGAGGATACCTTCCGAAATGAAATTCAATCTGGTATGTCTAATGGAAAACATGTCGTTGTAGCAGGATGTGTACCACAAGGCGCACCGAAGTCCGATTACCTACGTGGCCTGTCTGTAATTGGTGTTCAGCAAATAGATCGCGTAGTTGAAGTGGTAGAAGAAACGTTGAAGGGTCACAGCGTACGCCTCTTGCAGAATAAAAAAGAGCAAGGGAAACGTGTAGCTGGTGCGCGTTTAGCGCTGCCAAAAGTCCGTAAGAATCCTTTAATCGAAATTATACCAATCAACACTGGTTGTCTTAACCAGTGCACTTACTGTAAAACAAAGCATGCTCGTGGTGATTTGGCCAGCTACCCGCCCCAGGAGATTGTAGAACGTGCTAAACAAGCTTTCACTGAGGGATGCTGTGAAATTTGGTTGACATCAGAAGATACTGGTGCATACGGAAGAGACATTGGCACTTCACTGCCAGAACTGTTGTGGCAACTGGTTGAAGTCATACCTGACCATTGTATGCTGCGAGTAGGCATGACAAACCCACCTTACATATTGGAACATCTGGAGGAAATTGCAAAGGTGCTAAATCATCCAAGGGTATACGCTTTTCTTCATGTACCAGTCCAAAGTGGCAGCGACTCGGTATTGGGCGACATGAAACGTGAATATAGTCGAAGCGAATTTGAACATGTCGTTGACTTCCTTCGTGTGCGGGTACCCGGTATCACCATAGCCACTGACATAATTTGTGGTTTCCCAACCGAAACGGAGGCAGACTTCGAAGAGACAATGACAATGTGCGCCAAATATCGTTTTCCTAGCCTTTTTATAAACCAATTCTTTCCACGACCCGGTACGCCCGCGGCCAAAATGCAACGAATACCAGCACATTTGGTAAAGAAACGGACTAAGCAGCTGACGGATTTATTTAATAGCTATTCGCCATATTATGGTCGCGTGGGTGAGGAATACACAGTGTTAGTAACAGAAATATCACACGACAAGCAACACTATGTTGGACATAATAAGAGATACGAACAAATTTTGCTACCTATGCGGGAAAATCTACTGGGCACCGCGGTTCGCGTACGCATTACAGGTTCCAGTAAATTTAGTATGATTGCAGAAATCATTGACAACGAATCTGATTGGACACGTTGTACCGTAAAACCAGAACGAAATGGCCATATTCGAAATGGTAAGATCAATACAGAAAGTGATAAAGAGGACCTTGTAGGAAAGTACGTTGGTTTTGGGTTAATATTAATATTTATCGCTTTAATGTTACAGATGTTGATGAAGTTTTTGTAGTATTTATACGACAATAAAGTGGTGGCACTGTAAACTACAATAAGTATTGTCTTTGTTATTAACTAATTCTTGTTTAAATTTCCCAAAACATGCATAGTTGAGGCTGGAACTTGAACGTAGGGCTAATCAGCCATTACGCGTCTTCCATGCGATAAAAACCCCATTTTCCCCATCCATGTGATCACGCTGAATATCTTCTGTGCCCACAACGTCTTGAGGTGAAATAAACACTTTAGATTTTAAATATTTTATTTATTTTTCTCGAATTATTTTAAGTTACTTAAGCTAAATGGCTAAAGATAGTCATCAGACGGTTCGGTACCAAAATAGCGATCACCGAAATTACCAATGCCGGGTATCACGTAAAATTTATCATTCACCTCGGGATCTAGTGCTGACGTCACAATCCTCACTTTAGGGAAGGCATACGCAATTGAATGCACTCCAATTTCAGCCATCAGCAAAGAAGCCAATATTATATTCTCTTCCGGCACATCATGATCCAGCAAAATACGCAAAGCCATCATAGCAGCAGCACCAGTAGCCACTGTGGCGTCCATTAGTATTACTTTATAATCTTTAATGTCCTTCGGAAATCTCAAATAGTATAACTCGGGCTCGCCAGTATTTTGATTGGTTTGTATAAGAATCTTGCCGATGCGTATGTCTTTGCAAACATCACAAATTGCCTGCTCCATAGTTTCACCGGCACGCAAAATGGATACGCCACATATTTTTCGAGAACCCATGCGCTTACCTTAAAAATGAAATATACAAATTAATAGATCCAAACTAAGTACAAAGTGCTAGAGAATGCGTTCAACATTTTCGATTTACCTTCATAGAGCACCCCTTGTGGTGTTTCGACTGTTGTTGTTTTGAATGGAAAAAGACTCAATGCATATTCGATGACCAAACGTATGAGACGTTTTGAATAGAATATGAATTCGTCCCTGGAAGTACCGCGACAGCGTATAAAAGTGTGCAGCCCTTTAATTTGTGGTGTCGGTGGCAGTAGGTGTAGCGAGTCGGGCATAGGTTGATCCTTATAGGAATTAACTAAGGTTTCACGTAATTTAAAGCCACGCTACATTACAACCAAGAAAAAAAAGAACAATATATGGGGAAAAAGTAAATAATGCTTCCAGAAAAAGACAAGAAGACTAACCAGTTGCAGCTGAGTATGTACGTGTTGTACAATTAGATGTATGGCTACTTTATTTTCGCCACCGCGTGGGACAATGATATCGGCATGTGCCATTGTGGGGGCGATATAATTGGCATATGAAGGCTTCACCATGGTCAAATACTGCTTAAGTACACCACTGAGATCGCGACCACGTTGTGAAATGTCCCTATAAAGTAAATATACATATCGAGCTTTAAAATGTAGGAATTTACTAAATAAAAGTTTAAAAAAAAGGTTCTCAGTATAGTCATGTCCCGAGGAGGCATCTGTGATCATAATTCGATTTTAATTTTGGGAATGGAAATTCATTAGATCAACACAAATTGTAAGATATTATTTTTTTATTATACAGCTTACTTACCTTTTGAGACGCCTTGCCAAACGTATATCTGCATCGGTGTCAACAAACACCTTCATATCTAAAAGTTTAAGTACTTCCGTGCTGTGAAATGCTAAAATACCCTCAAATATTATGACATTTGCGCCATACATAGTTTTCTGCATAATAGAGCAAATGATTTGTTAAACAAAATACACTTCCACTTAAAGACGAAAAATTGCATCAAACTCACAGTCTTTGATTCGCGTGAATGTGTTACAAAATTATAGATGGGCACTTCCACCATGCGTCCTTCTTTTAGCTTTGTCAACACCTCCACCAATAAGTCTATATCAAAAGCGTCTGGGTGATCGAAATTATATTCGTTCAATAACGCCTGTTCGTGCTGTTTCTCAGTTAATATCTGTAAAATAAAAAATAAAACTATTAATGAACGCTAAGAAATAAATTACTCAAAATTTCAATTTACCTTATAAAAACAGTCCATGGAGAGCAGTGTTACCCATGGTACACTAAGACTCTCGATAATTTTTTGTGCAACTGTAGTTTTGCCCGATGCGCTGCCACCGCAAACGCCTGCGTAACGTATAAATTTCTTGTGTCAAATTTAATTCATATCAATTTTAAGATTATTTACAACTAGGCTATCGCTTTACAGTCATTGTTTTGTAGATATGTATGTATATAGTATATGCAGCGCACTCATAAACTTACCAATAACAAATGGTTCCACTTGCTGGCCGGCGCAATTATACCATGGTGGACGCCCAGCTGTATATATTGTGCGATTATTGGAGCGTATGATACATTCGGCTGGATTAGCGGTGGTCGATTGACTGTTCACCGATGTGGTGCGTTGTCGACGTGCCGGACGTGTTGGTGTGGTGGTACGTGCGGGCGACTCCAACGAATTCGATGAGACAACGCGACCAGGCACTGTGGTGGGTGATGCCGGGCAACAGTAGTCCCCATTGCCAATATCTACATATAGATTTGGATCGATATAAAGTTGCTCGGTCAAGTCTGGACGATCATCACTAAAAATGAGAAAGATATAAAAAAATTTGTGTAATGGGAGGTACAAACTTTCCTGATTTGTATATACATATGTATGTAATTTTAACATACAAATAAAAGGCCCCGAATGAAATATTTCGAAAATACGTTTTTTTTATGTAGCCCATTAGCTTGCTTTTAAATAAATATATCGCTATAATAAAATTTTAGATATTGCTTAAAAATATGAATTAGCTACTTTAGAACATCTCCCGTAAAATTTCAAAAACATCATTAAAGGCCTTTTTTATGATGGCAGACGACTTTGACAATACATTAAACTTTTATAGAAGCTTTTTTATATAGATAGAATACCAACACCGACAGTTATGAAAATGATCCTGACTTAATGTTATTATTAAAGCTATTAGCTCAAAAATTTACCCAAGCACACATTCACAAACATGTACATATATATTTGAGTAGAAAGGCGCGGGGCTTAGTATTTAATTACGATCCTGACTGACCACCCAGACATTCAATTTGTACTACATATGTATGTACATATCGTTACCTTAATTACAAAGACCCTAACCAAAAATTGTTTGTTTTAAGGAGAAGCAAAAAAAACATTATAAAAATTGAATCAGGTAGGGCTCTTTAAAAATTTGCATGTAACTACGTTGTTTTTGGTACTAACAATTGTAATTTTTATTTTTTATTTTAGTACATACTACCAAAATCTGTGAAACACGCAGTTTCGAAAAAAGTGTTGGTTAAGGACTTTGTGAATTAAGGTAACGATATGAATATTCCATACATATTATGTACATCCATTGCGATATAGTTTGAAATTATTTTATATACAACGCATTATTTACTATATTGATTACGTAGGTATGCACAAATTTTTTAAGGCAATTTTTTTTTTTTAATTTTTTTTTTTTGCATATACATAGAAATCGTACTTTATTTGGTTTGCATTTGTTTATACTCCTATTGCATTACCCTATAATTTTTATCCGATATTCGCATGTAAACAAGTAAATTTAAAAACAAAGAAATATAGGTCACTGACTCGTCCGTGTGAGTCAGCTGTTTTATCTGAACACCCATGCTAAAATCTATACATAAGTATGTATGTATTATGTATGTATATTCATATCAGTTTATGTAGATTAGACTGCATCACCAAAAAAAAGTTGCGTTCCTAAACAAAGTTGGTTTTCCTCCAAGAAAAATATTAAGATTTACGTGAGCTGGACCGATCTGAAAATACCACAAATATTGAGTTTTTTATGAATATAAATACTTTCTTAGAGAACTTTTCAAAAAATTTCCCTCAGATGACAAAACAGTTCAAGCCTCCAAAATTAGGTATCAGTTTTATAGCCCATTCAGTTTTAGTACGTAAAAGTGCACATTTCAAAACGCTAGAAAATAGCGTTGATTTTTAATAATTATTTTCTGACGGTGCTAGGCATTTTCCTCCATATAAAAGTAATTGTCGACCATACTTTATCAACCTAAATTTTTTCTAAAAATTCTGAATAACTGCACACTCGAAAATTTTCTAGAAATTCTGAATAAATATTTTGAAATTTGTATGAGCTTTATACAAATTGATTTATATGGCTTAAATTACAGATTTCACTATATTTTCATAAAAAAAATAATGACAAAAATATTTCCATTAAAATAATAGTGAATAGTATATTAAAACAAGGTGTACACTAACATTTGACACCGACTGTGTATGTACTTGAAAACGATGCCGTGCCCACAAATACGTAATTTGCATCAATTTAGCCAATTGAAAAGTTTTAACACACAGTACATGTGTATTTATTTTCGATACGTTACAGACGAGTAACTTGGTATGTGACCACCACAAAGTTAGTCTTTGGTTCGATTGCATATACGAGTGTAAAAATTGAAGCAACAGTTTGACCAAACATCCCCGTGGGAAACTGAGTGAAAATTCTACAAATGTGACTTTGAATTCAAATTGAATGGGCTTGTAATTAGCTCGGAAGCGAATTACAGAACCTTCCTAATTACATTTTAAGTTTTGTTTTACTATAAAGTCATTACCAAATTATCCATTTTCCGACAGGGTTACTCAATTAAGTATATTCATACATGTGTAGTTTATATGCAATTTAATTGTATGCAATTTTAGAAGAAAATTTTAATTGTATAGCACACATATATAGTATGTAAAGTATTTATGTAAATAACAAATGGATGACTAAGTTTATTTGCCGGCCTATACGATAACAGCGGCGTGTTCACTCACATGTGCTTCGGCGGTCGTTCGTAGTTCATACATATATACATAAGTTTATATGTACTTATTTATAGATATGTCCCAAAGAAAATTCGTCAGCTGTCTATGATCGAGTACGAGCAATGGAACACATGAAATGCGGCGCATGCCACAAAACATGCATGTGGATATTTAATTTTTTTATAACCTCACTACTCACTCACTATTTATGGACCCATTTGTATATGAAGTTTTTTGTTCCTGAACTGATTTACCTAGACGGAAACGTGTTATCGTGCCATGCAAGGCTATCGGATAAACTTTAATGCAGAAAAATTATCCATAAGCACAACACTTGACTATCTATCCACATATAAAAGATAGTGAAAGCATCGACACGTGTACAGAGATCACTTAAAAATTATTTTTCTAATCTACTATGTAGATACGATATCTCAACAAACAAAAAATATAGCGACTGCGCACGTAAAAATGAAAAATAATTTTTTATAAGCTGATAAGAACCAAAGATTATGAGTAAATAAATATGCAATATTATAAAAAAAATGCATTGTAATGTAAATATCTAAAGGGAAGGTGTAAATTATCATAAGGAATCTTTAGCAACAAAAAGAAGGAATAAGGTCCAAGGAATAAATGAAGACAAACATACATATATATGTCTGAACATACTTATATGCTACTAATAGTTCCGTTCCAGATGCTTCACGATTTGCAGGTTTTTACAGGAAGTCGTTCCCGGTAGCCAACTTCCATAAGGTTTTTGAATAGCGAAAAAAACTTACAGTAAAACGTACAAATCGTGAAGCGCCTGGAAGGCAACTAACATAAGATGCGTTTAATAATAACTATAAATGATTTTAGAGATAGGGTATCAGAGGGCAAATATGGTGAAATGTATAAAAAATTACATGAGACTACCAATGCCACTATCGGCTGTGCACGATAAATGCGATGATGTTGACGAAGATGACGATGACGACGTAGGTGATTTAGTAATTGATGCTGAAGATAAAATTACTGACGATAATTTTTTCAATGGCTGTTCGTTGCTAGACATCTTTGAGTTGCTGCCAATTTTCTTCGCGATATCACTATTGCAGGCTAATCCATTATGTGCCACAGTCACTTTTCCGCTCATGTTGTTTGAATTTCTTTAGGGAAGGATGTGTCACGTTAAATAATCATCTACTTTAATGGAGAAACCTTCAGTACACAGTGCAAAGCAACTCAAACAATATTGCACAATGTGGAAAATATCTGGAGGAAAATGAAGATTTTAATTGTTGTTTATAAACTTAAAAGCAGTTATGCGTATTTTCAACTGACCGTCCCTTCATGTATTGAACACAGAAATTAATTTTTCTTCACTTTTGGTCAAAATAGAAATTTAACAAAGGTTAAATGAACACGCCGCGTGTTGCACCGTCTGAATGGCAGTTTTACTGATTGCACATTTATCTTCGTACAGGAACTCGTGTACCTCAACGTGAAATGTAAGCAGCATACGGGAATCAAAATTTTACGCTTTCATTGTTGGTTCTGCTTTTATTACATTCCTGTTTTATACTTAAAAAAATATATATACTGGTGAGCCACCGAATCTTTTATTGCGCATTGATTGGCTATGCTTTACTGAAAAGCGACATCAATTAAATAAATAAAAAAAAACAAGACAGTAATTATAGGTGCACGATTTTCACATATGTATACTTTGGGATTTCTGATCGCGTTATTAAATAGCAAACATGTTCACCAACTTCATTACTTGCAATTACCTATCGGAGCTGGCTGAGCTGGAAGGGTAGAATTTAACTTGTTTTCCCTGCGTGGACGATGATACCGACATTTCTTTCTACAATTCGGCAAAGATAAAAATTCGGCAGCCGGACGATTCTACACGGAATAAATAGAATGACACGATATGAGTAAATACAAACACATCTCAATACTTATCGTTCGTTTACAAGTAATTTTGGTATCGATACTTTCGAGCCAAGTACTGGGTAGGAATGAAAAAGTTGATTTTTAGCTGTGTCTACGTCAAATTTCTTTGCTGAAAAACGAACGAAAAATTAAACTAAAACCAAAAACTATTATTTTCAGCCACATTAAACACACCATTAAGGTAAAATTATTGATTAAACGTACTGTCATGTTGAATAGACGTTTCATGCATTGCCGCAACTGATAAAATTCGACCAAATCTCAACT